GGTGGAGATAAATTTACAGTGCTCTTGCTGGCCATCTTGATAGAATCATCGTATCATGGGGTCCAAGTATGTCATCCAGGCGTGTTCATAAACCTCACTTGTGAGGTGTTGGAGCACTATATTCATATCCCCAGGTTTGGCGTGAAATTTCCGTTTATTCTCCAAACAGAAGTTTAGTAGGTTTACTAACCATCTAGTTGTGTTAGTTAGCTTGATGAAATTCAGCTGTAGTCTGAAACGCTGTGGATTTAGATCCACTTGTATCTTCGTCTAGGTAATTAAGCTGCGAAGTCCTTGATGATGTAGGTGCACAACCAGGTGTGTCTGTCCTCGTTGAACTTTATGTAAAATCGCCTGACTGCCGATCCCTCGTCTTAACTTGACAGGGGAGGTCTCTAACTTGAAGAAAGGCAGTCTAATCATGAATGTTCAGGTTAACTGGACTGTAATGAGGCTTGCTCGTTCACTGATATATAGTTGTCACTTGTGACGTAAGTCTTGAACTGTGAATAGAGATCGACCTCTGTGTAGGTCGTTGTCCCTCGCGGTCCAATCAGAACAAGGCATTTTGATTCTGTATAATACCAGCTGTGATGTCACGGTGTAGCGGGAAAAACCCACCTTGAATAAATTCTTTGTCGCCGTTGATATTAGCATAAGCGTCGGTCTTCACCGTAGCTTCGAAGTTATCCGAGTGACCACGTGTTTCGAGGGTTAATGGTAACCGCTGAAACCTCCCGGGCGAAAAATCTCAGCTCTGTAATTTTATGCTGGGTAGGTTATTTTCCTGGTTGTCGTGAAAGTAATTTCAGTTTTGAATATAATTCCGACTTCCTTATATATAAGGGTATAAACAACTTGCAAGTTGTGAGCTTGTAGACTGTATACATGAATGTATCGTCATAATTGTAGAATTAACGTTGAACGTGTACATATTTCTTCTCAGAAACTTTGACGATTAAGAGTTATACTCGCTGTAACAAGGCTGCTGTTCAATTTCGATATTGAATTGTCTGCAGATATGCGTAATGGTCACGCATGTAGATAATCGTATCGTCGTCCGGGATTGTATATTAGCAATTTATACGGAATAGTTGTGAAGATCTATGAAATGTCGTTGACTAATAATACAGCGGCGTTCTGTGTTGTAAATAGCCTGAGCAATTATCTTCGGCAGAGGCTTATAGGCGGCATCTGGCATACAGTTGATAATCAACTTATGCGGCGTCTTGAACGGACTGACGAAAGTAGCTATATATGACGAGTGGCTAGTATATGGAAACCTTGGAGGAGACTTCCTCGGTGAGCGCCCGGAGACTTAGCGAAGTTCTCGAAGTATCCCTTCTAGATCTTCTGGGTGAAGTAGACTTGGAGTTACTTAGCCTTCATGACCATCGCGAAGGTGTCGAGTCAAAACCCGATTAGTATATATATATATATATATATATAATATATATATATGAGCTTGCCGTGAACAGCCTCTGTGTTTAACAGGATGTGGGATCGGGCGGCGCTTGCCTAAAGTAGGGCAGCATGGATCATCTTATCATATTCAGAAGTCGTGGTATACTTAAGTCTGGTGATAAGTGTCTAATTGATCGTTCTAGATCTATTTAGGCCAGCGAACATACGTCTCGTCATGGATTCAACAGAACCAATATACGATTGTAGTTCTTATACTTGATATCGATGATCAACTTGTCTATGGGTTGATCTTCTCGGAGACTTGTGAGGGGAACGTTGATAGTTTCGCGAAGCTCTTGTATAGTCCCTCGATGTCCTTCTAGATGATGATGATCTGGATTCAGGTGTCCTTCGCGCATGCCTTCGCGAAGCTTCCTCTGCGTCCGGTCCGGGGGAACGACGATATGACCTTCGCGAAGGCTTCCGTGATGTCTGATGGTCCGAGTCCACATCTAGGGATGAAACCGCATAAGGTGATGATCTATCCTGCCTTCGCGAAGGCTGTACATCTAGGTTCTTTCCGCCTTCGCGGGAAGGCTGTACATCTAGGTTCTTTCCGCCTTCGCGAAGGCTGTACATCTAGGTCCTTTCCGCCCGCGAAGGCTGTACATCTAGGTCCTTCGTCAAGGTGGTCCGTGACTTCCTTCGCGAAGGTGACATCGTCCTGGCTGCTACGTTGACGGGGGGTGCCTCTGGGGTGCTGTCTACGTTGGAGCCTTCGCTTGGCTTCGGACCCTGCTACCGCAGATATTGGTCCTCCATGATGTTCATAATTTGTCATCATGTCTTCTGGGATGGTCTGCGGCGAGGTCGCCGGTGCTTTATCTGCGGTGTTAATGAAGGGGTCCACCGGAAAATCGTCCGACATCAGTGTAGAGGCATCAGGCTGCATGGTGATCTCTGCTGATGTCGTTGTAGCTGTCACCGGTCGTTTCTTGTGGCGTCGTCGGGGATGATGATCAGCTGATCATCGTAGAGGTCCAGGTCATCGGCTGGAACAATCTCGGTTGAGAAAGTCCTAGTAGACTTCGTTGATTTTCCCTCAGAGGTCGGCGCTGCCCTGGGTGTGCGGCGCCTGCGTTGAGTGTTGGTAATGATGGGACCCTCAGGACGATCATCGCATATCTCGCGTTGGTACATCAGGCTGCATGCTGATCTGTGCCGACATCGGTCAATCTTGATGTACATCCGGTATGATGACCCGGCTGATCATCATACAGGCCCAAACTTCGATGGGAGCGGTCACCGGTTGTTGAGATGTAGTAGAAAAACCCTCTAGTCTTCTGCTGCGGCGATGGGATGTCTGGGGAAGCAGGATGCTTCTTGGAGATGGCGGACTACGCCCCACACCTCTCCACCACTCTAGCGGAACACCACACGGGAGGGGAGTCGGCCAACAGCAGTAGACTGGCGAGGGTTCCGTGTATCAGTCATACTAGACTCTGCATCGCAGCGACCTATCTGCTGTGCGTGCCAAGCGCCAAAGTAAATATTAATAAAAGGTAGAATTGGATAAATTAGTACGCAACTGCAATGTGAATATAATAAACATGGGCCGTACATCATATTAAAGGCGGATCAGCAGCAGCATAAAAAGCGTAATCTGCAATAGTACAGAATTTTCATCAAGCGTAATCCACTGAAACAAACACACGCCGTCCGTGACTAAACTGTAGAAAAGCGACTAAATATCAATATATAATCGTTGAAGGATACTAGCTAAACCTCTATAGATGTCTATACGAGGTAACTAACTAAATATAATTCAAAGGATATAGTGTGTCGGGAGACACAGGCGCTCTCAGGTCCAGCTCACTGGGCGAAGAAGGAGAGAGTGAGGCACATGGGTAGAGGTGGCGCCCTCGTTCCCGAGCTTGTGGAAAGGAGGTAACTCGTGGTGAATACTAATTAGTGATTTTAAATTGAAGGGAGCTTCAATTAGGGAGATACAAGTGTTCCACTATGTTCGCAAGAAGAAGAAGACAAGCAAAAAGAGCATGAGTCAGGATAAGGAAAAATATGCTTCATGTATGTATTTTCGCATTAAACATCGTGTCCGAGCGTGAAGATTGAGGCGGCGAGAGCCGAGATGTCACTCGTCAGTGACTTGACTTGCATTACATGATCGCACAAAAAGATGGAAATAGTAATTTTATATGTACGTTTGACAACTTTAATGAATGCTGTTGTTGATTTTATTCATTAGTTATTCAATTTATTTAATAATTTCCTCGAAACATCGTTACTTTGCTCTTTGACAATGTTTATTGTAGACCCGCTGCCGAAGCATGTGTCCGAGAATCGTTGTTTTCAATAACATTGCGAAAAATAGTTTATAATTTTAATTCTGCTGATAATATATGATAAATTGAAATTTAATAAGTGTTTTCAGACATTGTGAAATGTGATAGATTTGATATATGAATCAAAAGTCAGGTAGGTTCCTAAAATTATGTCTCATTTTGACGTGACTACTGCCTGGCCGATTAATCGGCCTCCGGTGTCTGGGGACTCATAACGTTGTGGCCGATTATTCGGCCTGCGGTGTTGAAAGGGTTAATTGAAATAATCGAAGATTGGTCGCAGTGGCCAAACGACCAAGCAATCGATCACATTTTCTCATAATCGAACACAAACGATTTTTGAACTGCTGTAATAGAGTTTGAAATACTTGATGATGGAACATATCTAGGACATTGTCAGGGCCTGAAAATATGTTTATTTCTAAGAAAACTCACTTCACTTTCTGAAAAGTCATGACTGAATATTTCTTGAAGAATCTGGGAAGTTAATGTTACACTGGAACTGAATCATTTTACACTGGATGTGAAATCTGCAAATGTAATTTGTGCAGTATCTAAAAACAACAGAGAACCAAATGTTTTTTCTTTATACTTATCTGCAACTACAACCTGAATAGGAAAATCTAAAAAATGACGCTAACCAATTTATTTTCGATGATTGGTCGTTAGTATTGAACCAATCATCAATTGTGAGATTTCAACCAATTCCCAACACTAGAGATGAGGGTTTCCTTCTAAATTCATTATACTACGGCAATGTGATTGGTCAGTTTGACAGTCATTTGGAAATGATCGCTGTGTTTTGTACCTCGAAACGTCACTATAATGACTGTTGTCACGGGAAATCATGGAAAATAATGATGTTATCTGATCGTTTAAATACATCAAAATGACAAGCGGAAAGCAGACAGCTCTCTCCACTTTTGGGGGAGGTAAACAAGGTTTCGGCTATCGAGGAGGACGAAACAAACAGTAAGGGGCAAAAACATTCAAGTTCAAAACTAAAACCTAGTAAATTGTGGAAACTTAATCCAGACTGGGACAGGCAGATTTCGTGCAGGACCAGTAAATTAGGTCGTCGGACATGGGTGATAGGCTGTTTAAAAAAAAAAAAAAAAAAAAAAACAGCGGAAAAACTGAGGACCTCATGTTAGAATATTATAACCCGTCTCAATCTTGCATTCTAACCTACATCACTGACAGCATTCAATAGTAATCAAACAAGATGCTTACCATTTCATTAGGAACATAAGCTCCCCACTACTGTCAGTTGCTCCTATAATTCTCTCTGGCTGTAAACCACGGTCAAAGCCTCGGGGTTTATTGTCATCTTCCTGCGAGAGACAAATATTTTACTAAATGTATATCTGTGGCCATTGAGCGTAGATATCACAGAATTATTCAGGTTTCCAGACTAAGCTGCTGTGCAGGAAACCTGGGCAAAAACTGGCAGCTTATCTTAAAGTTCTACATTTCAGAGTTGGGCCTAAAAAGAAAAAGAAATTGTTGTGGTTCCGATTACCCGACCGACCCTTGAATTCTGGTATCGACCTTTTTTTTTAGAGGTATGAATAAAATAAGTTTCCATATAACATTGCTTTTTCCTGGCACCAAAGGACATTGGTCATTCTGATAAAGAAAGTCGACATGATGGCCGCAAGATTGATTGAATAAACAATTACACATTGAAAAATGAAGAAGAAGAAAGAATTGCTACCTATAGTCCGTTTGGCTCAAAAGCAGACCGATGAATTGCAATTTAACTCGAAAAACTAATAACCATAAAAAACTCAATGAAACACTGATCATAATGAAAACGTCAGACCTACTGTGAGGTTTTTGCAGAATTTATGTCCTAAAAATGAAAAAGTTGTTTAACAAACCATCATTAAAATATTGACACAGTTCACTATTTGTTACGAGGGAGGAGTGCAGAGAAAGGGACAGCCAGGTGTGAGAGAAAGGATGGAGACGGCACAGCACAGATTAATGAATCAATAACTTTGTCAGCACTTGTGCACGTGCTTCTCTAACACCTGGCTGTCCCTTTCCCTGCACTCCTCCCTCGTAACAAATAGTGAACTGTGTCAATATCTTAATGATAGTTTTTGTTCAACAACTTTCATTTTTAGGACATAAATTCTGCAAACAAATCAGAGTTGGTCCGATGTTTTGATTATGATCCGCGTTCCATTGAGTATTATATGTTTATTAGTTTTCGAGTTAGATTGCAATTCATCGGTCCGCTTTTGAGCCAAACGGACTATAACTACCCTAAATTTTAAAGAGGTGTAATCGGAACCACAACATTTTTATTGTTTGGCCTTGTATAAAACTATTTAAAACTAATTCCCAAGCACTTTAACGAAACATACGGGAGCAGTTTTTACTTCTGCTACTTTCTTCTTCTTCTTAGATGAACCGTCATCCATTCCATTTGCTTGCTTCCTCTTCTTTTCTTGTTCTTTCTTTTTCCTCTTGTCTTCGTAGTCCGCTATGAGGTCAGGACAATCTAGGTTTTCTTCCGGTTCCCATGTATTTTCAGAGCTGAAATTGGTGAACTCAAACCATAAAACCAATAACACAGTAGTGAGAGAATGAGTGAATGTTGGTCTGCACAAGCCAGCAACATTAAAGCCATACAACAGTAGGTGACTTTTAAACAAACAATGACCGTTACCTAGGTAAAACAAACTAATGATTAGCCAGGTCACCCATTGCAAACACTGTCAATGACCTTCATAATCTTCTCTAAGGAGAAGTGTGCGAGTTCAGTTTTACGCCGTTTTTAGCAATATTCCAGCAATATCATGATGGGGACACCAGAAATGGGCTTCAAATATTGTGCCCATGTGGGGAATCGAACCCGGGTCTTCGGCGTGCCGAGCAAACGCCTTTACCACTAGGCTAAACACACACCCACCCACCCCCCAATGAGAAGAGTGAGGTAAGACTTTTATGCACGAGATGATATGAAACTTGTAATTATTGTTAATGACACAGTTCAGCTATTATTAAAATTAGTGGGCAGTGCTTCAAGGGACAATAGTAATTTCGAGTGAAAAAGAGTAAAGTCCAGATTTTCATTGTCTCTTGATACACGACATGTATGGTCAAAGCTCCACCCACACTCATTAACAAAATTGATGAAGTGAGGCTTTGTTTGCAAACACAATAGCCAAATTCCTACTGTTAACGCTACATAAGCTTGCAAATATTGCATACCTACATGGGCAGTCATTTTCTCGCTTTGTGGTTTTCAGGCTTCATGATTGCAGTAGACAAATAATTGAATCTGGATCAGACAATCCAGGGATTGACACCCTGAACTACAATCTACTCAAATTTGGTACTAAATGTATCAACCAAGTCAACAAGTCTGACAACCTGATCCACTTAGCCATCGTTTACGTCAAGCTAGGGTTCCTGAGCCCAATTCCAGGCAGGGATAGAAATACTTTTTTTTCTAAGTGTGCCTTAGGGCACCAGGCAAATATTTTAGGTGTGCCTTTCAGAAATCAAGTGTGCCCACATGTTTTTAGAATCAATGACTGTAGCAAGGATGAGGATCTTTTGAAATTTATTGTCAGAAAACAACAAATGTAACCAGTTTTCGGTTATCACTGATATGTCTTCTGCTTAAGATGGCCTTCTTATGTTACATTTGTTCTGCTTTCCCCATCACCTTTAATAGCTAAGAATCGTGAGAGGTTCACTTTTTCAATATGTCTAACATACACGATTTACTAACCGAACTATCAGTACTCACAACACTCTAAATGGAAAAACAACCAGATTTCTTTACATCATCCATCATAATTCCAGTGATTTCCTGGGCGTAAAAGTCAATAAATGTTTTTGCTTGTTTGTCATTTAGCTTTAGTGTTTTGTTTGGGGATTAAATGACTAAAGGTGTGCTATGTCTCTCAAAAATTAGGTGTGCCATAAGGGCACCAAGAACATTTTTTATCTGTGCCATTTCGATATTTACCGTGCCATTTCGATATTTACCGTGCCATGGCACGCTAATACATGGGGTATTTCGAACCCTGCCAGGCCTGATCTTTAGCCTGGGCACATCCCAGAATCCCCATGGTTAAACTCCAATTAAATTACAACGAAGAAATATATGGAATGGCCGACTGCAGCAGAGCACTTACTCCGGATACCCCTTCCATTTGAGAAGGTACTCCTTCTTTCCGTTCCTCATTCTTCCATCAACAACCTTCTCCACTGTGTACTCCTCCTCCTCTTCCTCCTCAGCATCAATGCCGTCTTCACCAACATCCTTCTTTGTTTTCTTACTCATTGCTGTTAATGGTGCTGCAACATTATTCATCACTGTTAATCAACTGGGATATTGCTATTCCCATCAGACAACTGATCTAATTTAGAGTTGAGATAATCCAGTGAGATCTTTCTAAATGAGTGTGTCGGCAACATTTCATTTTGTATGACAGCAGTCTAAATAATTGTGCCTGGACCTACACAATTGGAATTGCATGCATCAACCAAGTCATCCAGGCCAACTACCCGACCACATTACTTGCAACTTTCACGGAGCATGGGATGCTGAGGACCAGCTCTTCAGGGGGAGACAATTTGAGTCAACTAATGAGATGACTTCAGTGATTAATAATGATATTTACTGCAGAAAATCAATAGAACTTATCATGAAAGCCTGTAGGGTATCAAACCTTGACAAACAAATGGTCAACACTGAGCAACAAGCAATGTTCTCTATGGTGGTCTCTCCTGGTAATAAAGTCTATGAACTGTCTTTTGATTTTCATCACCTGTATGGTGTACTGAAAATGTAGACAAAACCAGGCCACATGGACAGTGAATAACTGAACACAATAAACATCCGGAATGGAGAAGATATTTTGCTGTTAAAGATATTCAGCTGTATCCCAGTTACATAATTTTAAGGCAGCCTGGTCCAGACAAACCAGAGCGTAACAACATCAGCAGGGTACGATGACTTGCAAGATATCTATGTTGTTCACACAATTTCTCATTCAGAGGTGGAAATAACCCATTGCCCGACGTCCCAGTCCAGTGGGTTTTTTGGTCGGGCAAGCAAATTTGTATATCCCACTGTACCGGTGTCCAGTTGACTTTCCAATGTTAATTATGTTGTTTTTTAAAAACCAACAAGAAAATAGGCCAGTATAGTGGAAAAATTATCAGGGCAAGTGATTTTACATGTGCCACTGTACTGGAGTACACTAGCAATTTTAAAGTTATTTCCACCCCTGTCACATTCAATCACAAACATGTTAAAATTGAGTGAGTTGGGTTTTATGCCGCTTGTTAGCAATAATACAGCAATATCACAGTGGGGGACACCAGAAATGGGCTTCACACTTTGTACCCATGTGGGCAACCAAACCCCTAGCCTTCGGGGTGACAAACTCTTAAACCACTAGGCTACACCACTGTCCCATTAAAAAATTTAATTGAAACTGACATCCAAGCATAAAGTATATCAAAGCCTAAAAAGCAACTACAAATTCCTATGAACTGCCAAGCAGCTTTATTCACTCTCACATTGTTTGATGCTCTCCCTGACAAAACTTCCTGTTATTTGACTAGTGATTAGGTCCATATTGTAACCACCTGATAGTCAGCTTTTTATACATGTGCCGTGTACTATTGCATCCAGCAACATTCTAGCAACATGTGAATCATGAAGTCGGAACCAGGAGTGAGTTTAGTTTTATGCCGCACTCAGCAATATTCCAGCTATATGGTGGTGGTTTGTAAATCGAGTCTGGACCAGACAATCCAGTGATCAACAGCATGATCAACCAAGCTAGCGAGCCTGACCACCCGATCCCGTTAGTCACCTCTTACGACAAGCATGGGTTACTGAAGGTTCATTCTAACCCGGAACTTCATGGGTACATGTGGAGTTAACTTCCTGCATGTCATGGTGGGACCATCTCAAAAGTCAAATGGAGGAAATTACAATCATATCTTAAATGAAAATGGGGACATTCTTGAAGGGGCTCTTGATGTCCAGTTTATGCCGCTTTTAGCAATATTCCAGCAATATCACGACAGGGGACACCAGAAATGGGCTTCATACATTGTACCCATGTGGGGGGAATCTAACCCGGGTCTTCGGTGTGACCTGCGAACACTTTAACCACTAGGCTACCCCACTGTCCCCAGTTTGAAAATGAATAGATCCTGTTTCAAACGTCCTTGTTTCAGCAGTTCTCTTCACGTTAAAGGCATATCACAAAAACAAATATAAACAAATTTTGGCTTTCCAAGTAAGTCAAAAGATTTTATTTAATAATTGAATTTTTCCAAGCACATGTAGGAATATATTACAACATGCTGATTATGAATTTCTACATGGTAACAATGATGCCATATATACATCTTTGTAAATTTCTCAACATTAGTTTTCATGAACTGAAAGAAGTCTGCAAATCATTCACTCAGAGGCACATTTAGATCCAAGCAACAGTCAAATGAGTTTTCTGCACAATCTCATGCTTAACTTGTCAGGGTAACATGTATCTTATGCTTTTACTTACCGATATTACTTCCACAAGTTATCCTTTATTTTTCACCAATTTCTACCTAACGCCACAACCGGGGAGGAGATGGCATGTACCAAACAGTTATTTCTCAAAGTTTAACATACAAATCTTATGAGAAAGTTGCTGTTCGCTTTGTTTCACCTAATGAGATATGAGTAGAAGAAACTTGCGTTCTGCAAAAGCCAATATCATTATCACTAATGACTTAAACATAAGGTCAGTACTCTTGTCAGATAATATATTACAAATTACAATGCCTTTACACAAGTACTATATAGCAAACATCTTGAAATGTTTATAATACCTGTTCTCACATCAGTGTTCGAAATGAAGCATGATCGTCATCAGATATTTTGTTAAGTTCTCAATGAAGCTCTGAGGGGGTCTTAAAAAAATCAACACTACAGTAACAAATCTAAATGATCATGAAGACTGCATAGTATTGGAACATAGTATATTAGAGTTCACAGTTCCAAGAGTATGAGAAAAGGTGAAGCATATTTCTCTGTGTACCAGATGCTTGTTTCTTTGCATGGTTGTAATGAACAATCGTTCTTGTCATTCTTTCCTTCCAAGGCTATGGGATCAGTACAGGTTTCCAGAACCTCAAGCAATGGTAATATGGTTTGTTTCAAATCACCGCTACCCTGTTAGTTTTGTTCACTGCGAAAAATAGCACTTTTAATAACAATTAAGGCTGAATATTGCACTGCATGTAATAAATGGCAAGAATTTTAACTGACACTTAAACAATGGCAACTTTATACTGGTGTCAAAAAGTGAAAAAGATCAAATAACATGTCAACCCTGTTTCAAGGGAGATAACTCTTCCAACATAAATAATATATTTGCTGTGATTGTTAATTCCTTATAACAATACCACCACCAATGCAATTAAAAGTGTTTGACACACAACTTGTAGCATTTTCTAAATCCAATTAAGCCATAGATATTATTGGAATGCTTCCATTACTCAGAGATAACATTAGTGCTTGTCAAAATACGATGATTTCCAAAAAAACAATGGTTCTAAATATTTCTTATAAAATTTATTCCTGCATATCATGTTTACAAATGTGATGGCCTGATTAAATACAATAACATGGAACTAAAAGGTCCATGTCTGCCTGACTATCATCATTCACCTGCCATATTGATGTTTCTTGGTTACTGGAGTGTTGAAAGGATTCTGGTCTCAGTTGTTGTTCTGGTTTGAAAGAGAAATGTCAGTAATAGGCAGAATATTCAACAATCAATATGATACGGATAAACAAAGAAAACGTGGGGAAAAAGAAAGTTGGTTAAAACCCAGGATTTAAGTCATCACTATTCGTTGGTTTCACATTAATTTTCGACTCGCTCTGCGCATGCGTAGAGCGTGTAAAAATATCCACTGGTCAATTCCGGTTTGGTCGTAATAGCGATATTGTAAACACGCTCTAAATAAATGCTTTATAAAAATTATTTACACGTAACAACTGTTCATAGTTGAGTACATACATCCATTTGCCTATGCTTTTCAATAATTGATGTCCTATTTTGGTGGCATTGCATCAGAGATGTGTTTTTTACTTGTGAGAAAGGGATGTGCAGGAAGGACGGTGGACGGGTGGTGGTGAAATGTGTTTATACAAGAGCTTGTTAACAAACGTTAAGCCATTTATTTAACTGATTCCGGTCCCTTCCATTCATAAATGAATTGAGATTAGTTAAATTCGACAAAAAAACCATATATTTGTTTTGATTTTTGCTTTCTTTAGAGTGCGTTTACACTATCGGTAAAGCTTACGACCAAACCGGAAGTTTGCCAGAGGATATTTTTACACGCTCTGCGCATGCGCACAGCGAGTCTAAAATTAATGTGAAACCAACGAATTCCAGCTGAAAAAGTGTCAGGGTTGTAAAACAAGTGAAGGTTCAAATCAGGTTTGCATTTCATGAGACCAAATGCACTCAACTTCCCTTAGCCAAGAACATTGTACAATGAAGATATTAGCTAAATAATCTGCAGCTTCTGTTTGTGGAAGAGTGGGCACTATTTTTGTAGACTCAATTCTTAGGACAATGGTGTTCATTACATGTTCCTACTATAACTTATACAAATCCTATGGATTGTTAATGTCAGTCTGAACGATGGTCAGTTAATTTACATAGAATCTTGTTATTTTTCTCATAAACAATTATCAGACCTGTCAGTGACTTCCAGAGGCAAACAACATCGGAACTATTTGTTTTTAACTTTGATAGAACATCCTTTGACAACATTACCAAATTACGAACGACACTTAAAGTTAATGTTGCAGAAATGAAACAATCTACAATGTCTTCACATGATTGCATATTATACTTAGTTATGTTATAATGTACTACAGGTGAACCCACCTTTTGGTAAGAAAACGTAAATGTCATGAGTTTTAAAGATCTGTCAATACAGTCTGCTTCTGTTTGTTTTTATTTAATTACACATAAAACAGTTCCATTAGTCCATACAACGGCTAATTCGAGAATTATCAATAAATGAATGTAACATTAACACTACTTCGTTTAAGACAGGTATAAAGTTATGGCTGGTTAATAGGTTGTAGTTAAGTACATTTGATGCAGGCTACATGTTACTTTCACGTAAAGATCCTTCATTGTCAAAACTAGTCACAAAATGAGAAACTTGTGTTGGGTAAGGAACCTCTCAAAATACCACCACCTCACATAATTGCAATTACGTTTAAACATGCAGACATTATTTGTGAACTTCCGATTTCCCTTAGATTCGAAATAGTTTTCATTCAATACCGCTGAAAACCGGCTATTTTGTTGACAACGTGAGGCGCCATTTTGTGCGAGATGCAACACAAAAAGCATGCAAATTCAGTACCTATGCCGTAAACGTATGGTAAGAAAAATCAAAATCTGAGAGAATGAATTCTTGGAATTGAATTATTTTCATTTCAGAAATTAAGCTAAATCTATTTCCCCTTCAATTGACTTCAAACTTACATGCTTGAGATGTTACTTTCCCTCAAAGCTGAAATGCCGCGATTTCCTTTGACAATCTGCGCAAGCGCGAGATACACATCCGGGAAATTTTTGCGATGTTTTACGCGGGAAAACACCTCGGCTTTTTTCGTGATATGAATTAAATTTCATTTCTGAAAATAACTTGTAGTTTATGTCCACAGATGTAAGAAATATATGATATAAGGATATTGAAACGTCTGTTATGCAGTAAGAAACACTTGGCGAAAAAAAGCCAATTTATGTTGATTCAAGATGACATCATCAATCACGTGACCACTCCTCTGCCATTTCAAACCGGGCACGTGTTGGAAGCAGTAAGAGCGCTTCTCTGATCAGAAGAAACTCATAAATTTCGTTTGTAACAAGCATCTGTGGAAAATGTCGGGTGGTGTAAGTATATTTAAGTTTTAGTGACTACGTTTGTTAATATTTTGTACCTTTTACGTGAAGATTGCAAGGTTAATTTGCGTTTCTACCCGAAGCCGCTCGCCGGTCTTTGTTCTTGGAAAGCACAAGCAAAATGGCTTCCTATCATGACCTACTTTAAAATTTGCGCTGTTGTTAAAATATCATGCTTCCTCGCCCGTAATTTGTTGTGCATATATTTAGTACTTTATGTATGTCTTTTTTTAGATACATTGCTTGTGTCATTTTAAATTGTACGCAAATTTGCAAGTGGAAATTAGTAAGAACACGTGATCGAGAACAAAGGGCGCATGTGCGCGTTGCCTCGATACTCGGTTCTTCCTTGTTGAAGCTTGTCTCTTCCAGTATCGCCCTTTCATTGAATATCTTCCTGAACCCAAATCTTATCATGGATTGTTAACTTTGTATTGACCATGTTGTTAAGTATACATGACCGTAATGTGTTTTTCTTTATTTAAAGTTTGGAGGTAGAGGTCGGGGAGGAGGAAGAGGCCGTGGTGGCGGCGGCTATGGAGGAGGAGGGTTTGGTGGTGGTGGCGGCGGTTACGGCGGCGGCGGTGGCTATGGAGGAGGCGGCGGCCGTGGTGGTGGGAGGAGAAATCCCCGCGAGCACCCAACCGACCCCGAAGATGAGCAGTTCAGAAAGCTTTTCATCGGTGGTCTCAGTTACGAGACAACAGACGAAAGTTTGAAAGCGCATTTTGAAGAATGGGGCGAAGTTGTAGACTGTGTTGTAATGAAGGACCCAACAACAAAACGGTAAGTAAAATCTTAAGACTTCCGCTTGAAATGTATTATATTTATTGGGATTATTTCGAGGGTTTAGGGTTAGTTTGGGCTTTTAATAAAAAAAAACCCCAACCGTAGCCCAATATACTTAATCATAGAATGATTTAAGAAAATAAGGGGGTTACGGGTGGTGATCTTTCCAGTAAAAATATGTTGAAACTGTAGGAGCTTAAGACACAACGAAAATGAAGCCATTTCTTTGTTTAATGTATTTGTATATTTTGCCTGCAGATCAAGGGGCTTTGGCTTCATCACATACAAAGCAGCTGCTGAGATTGATGCGGCCCAGGGCAGCAGACCTCATGTCATTGACAACCGAGAGGTGGAAACAAAGCGTGCCATGCCCAGGGAGGTATGCTATTTCCGTTTTGTTGCAGTTTGATTTAATGACCTACATGTTTATCCAGTTACTGTGACATTTGAGCCTTAGTGTCTTGATTATTATTAGCTGCTTCTTTAATAAGGACAATTTTTCTGGGTTAGAATTGTTTGTCTGCAAAGAGGTAAACTAATGGCTGGTATATCTGTGATTAATGTTTTTTTTCTTTTCAATTTTCTTAGGATGGGGGTGGTTCATCTCAACAATCTGTCAAGAAGATGTTCGTAGGTGGAATCAAAGAAGAGTTCACGGAGGAAATGTTGAAAGATGTCTTCTCAGAGTTTGGTGAAGTAACATCGGTTGATTTCATCATGGACAAGGCAACAGGCAAACCAAAGGGCTTCTGTTTCATCTCAGTATGATGACCATGACTGTGTCGACAAGGCTGTCTGTAAGTAATAGAGAAACTTAATCAGCAGAACTAAGAGCTGATGCAAATACTTATTACAACATAATTAAGATCATTCTTGACATGGTTTCTTGCCTAATTAAATATGTTGTTGAGACCCAATTTATCTTTTATGGTGATGTATCATAATGACTATTTGTTGCAGTGAAGAAGTACCATGAAGTAAATGGCCGTCAAGTTGAAGTTAAGAAGGCAACATCCCGTGAGAACCAAGGAGGCGCCCGTGGAGGTGGTCGCGGAGGCCGTGGAGGTGACTGATTGTTTTATTGACAACTCTTCTTAAAATGAATGTTAGTTCAGGTCATAAAGTGTGGGTTGTACAGACTGGGCCAATTACCATGATGACAATGTTACACGTGTTGCCTGAATCAAAGTCCCCTTTCTTGGTACTTCTCTGTGCAGTCATTGAGCACATGCTGATACCTCTGACCATCTTAAGTCTTACATATTCATGTTTGACAATTTCCCTCATATATTGCAGGTCGTGGGGGTTACCAACAAGGTGGCGGCTATGGTGGTGGGGGCGGCTATGGCGATAACTATGGAAATGGCTACAGCCAAGGTATTTATTCAGCATCAACATATAGCTACTTTTCGCCCATTCCTTGTGTCCCCCGCCGTGATGTTGCTGGAATATTGCTAAAAGCGGCGTAAGACCAAAGTCAGTCAGTATAGCTACTTTTCTTAGGAGGAACACTAGATGAAAGAATAGGAGTTCCAATTTTGTAAAGATAAGCTACTTAAGCATACGTTCCATTTCAGGTGGAGGCTATGGTGGTGGTTACAACCAGCAGAGTGGAGGCTATGGTGGAGGCTATGGCAGCGACAACTGGAACCAAGGTGGCTACAATGATTACAACAATGGAGGAGGCTATGGGGGAAACCAGGGAGGAAATGGATGGGGAGACAACTCGAACTTTGGCTCCAACTATGGCTCGTCGTATGGAGGTGGCGTCATGAAAGGTGGAAACTATTCACAAAGAGGATCGGGACCATATGGGGGTTAGTTTAGTTTGACCTTAAGTCACTTCTAAATGCATGGTTTAAAAACCTAAGAACCTCATTCCGTGAATCGGTCCCTATGTATTTTCTTTACTGTTGTTTAAGAGTGGAAGTGATATCATTTTAGATGGTGTTTCAGGCTCTTACGGGAGTGGAGGAGGTGGTGGTGGCTATGGCGGTGGCTACAACAGGCGCTGAAAAGTATTTAGACAACATGGATTTTCTGTAAGTACTCTGAAATGTCAATCTCATGATCTGATTAAATGACCTATAAAAGAATCAATTCCAAAGTTACTTCTGTAGCTATTCTTGAAGATTAATCAAATAAGAGTGTCTATAGTGTAAATCACTTTTTCTACAATTACCATGAATGTATGCTTTGCTATGTCCTAATAACTAGGTATTTTGTTCTCTTAAATATATATAGGTAGGCTCAGTGAGTGAAAATATCACAAGAAATGCAGACAGGCAGATATCGAGTATCCATAGCTACCAGTTACCTTAGCAACCAGTCTACAAAGTGAACTAGATGCCCTTATCAGGGCATTAGGGTGACAGGTAGCCATGAATGAACCTGAATAAGTGCCCTGGGCTCTAAAATAGACTTCAAAGGACTCTTACACATCTACATAGATAATCTAAGAAGATATATAGAAGGAAGGAGTTGGAGTCTAGCTGATATTAACCTACGACTGCAGGTTATTGGATATATTCTTCCCATCGAGCCCACAGGAAACTACCAACCAAGCTCTTGTACATAGATGTCGTCTTCAGAGATCCTGTTATGTTTTAACTTCATTTCATGTCACACTGACGTTGTCATATTTTATATTCTGTCCGTGTCGTATTGTAACATCATTGTATGTTTGGTATCATCATGAGAATAAATTTGTATAGAAATGTACCACTAAGTCTCATTTTCCTAAGTTGCCAATTTCTAACTTTGACAACTTTCCTATGAAGTTCCATACATTGGAAGAAGATTTGTTCTTTGTGTTGATTGGTAGGGCAAATGTTTGGAGTAAATTGTTTGAATGTCTAAAAAGCAAACATGGACAAGCAAACCTGTAGACAAGTCGAAAGTCTTATCTTGGTACGAAGAGAATGTATTGACAGTTACTGCGATTTATTGTTACTTGCTTTTTTACTTAGCAAATATTACAAATTGGGTTTAATTTAGAATTGAATTTAAAATTTGTAAATTGTTAATACATACTCGAGACATTATGAATTCCAAGATAGGAAATTATAATGTATGATAAGACTTTGCTGATAATGGCTTTTTGAGCTATAGGATTGATCATGTTATAGTAGATTGGAAAGGATGGAAATAAACCATTGAAATGGATCTGAATTTCCCTTAAACGAGGTACATTGCAATTGTAGGACCTCCTGTGATGCCAAATTAGATGGACCTTAATATTTCATAAAGGCTAGTTTGCCCTATCACATGCTTTCATGATCACTCCTGGTGTCTTCAGATGCGAGTCAGTATTTGGAATTTTTACAAAAAAAATACGTAACTGCCCATAAACCTTTGCATGCTTTACAAAACATGTTTGTTGAATATTGGAATAGTTTGTGAAGAGAACTTGCTGAATGTGGTGTTAGTCCATTTAATAGTGCAGGTCCCGAGTACGATGTCCCTAGTAATCCTTGTAGGTGGAGGTAAGTTGAAAGTTCTGCTCAACATTCTTCAATACTACTACTACTACTACATACTAAAGCTGACAACTAGAAACTTATATGGTAGTAAGAATCATATCTAACATAGTCCCATGGGTAGTGAATATTTCAAAGATATCTTCCAAGTAAAAGTAGCAGCATCTATTCACATGTGCAACTTTAAAGTGCAGAATATTTCTTGATCAGTAGTTTTGGATTTTTGTACAGGTTCACAATGGACCAAGGATAAATGGCTCATGGCTCATAATCAGTGCCAGTCCTGCTGTGATAAGGTAGTGAAGATTCTGGTAGATCAAATACTTTGCGATACTAAGTTGTAAATGTGTAGTACAGATGCACCGAAAGTAATGTCCACAGCAGTTTTGCTGCTGGCCTTGGTCTAATCTGTCAGCCAGACTCAATTATTAACAGACAGCTGCAATATAGCAATAACAAAAACACTATTTGACATGATAATGCTCCTGTTGATCACTGGATTGTCAGGTCAATACTTTATCAGACCACTGCCATATAGCTGGAATATGCCGAGTGCAGCGTAAAAATAAACTGAACTCTGACTATTTGTCACTTTTTTATACCCCAATCATTCTTTCACCAACCATTTAATATTTTTAGATTGATGAAAGGACTGAATGAAAAAGAAACCGGGGGAAAAAACCCACATTTGTGGTAAGTGATAGATTTATTTTATATATATACTACTCACACTTTGCTAAGGATCGCAAAATTTCGCCACTTTACTGAAACGTACATTTATAATTTGAAATTGTATCCATTTAAAACTGGATAAATAATGATATGGTAACTCATCTTTATGAAAACAGCCACTTTAATCTAACATTATGCACTTGAAACATGAGTAACCATACAAATGGTTTTCATGGCACCAACCAACCATTTTGCCAATAATGGCACGGGTCATTGACAAGTACACAACGCCTGTCGAAAGCAGGTATGGGATCCACAAGATGCAGTGACATACTGAAAACTTGGATCGATGCTTACAATTGGGGTGGCTATTTAAACCGAATTTGACCCCACATCATAGTTTTCTGTTGAATCAATGATTTGATCCTTAGCAAAGTGTGAGTAGTATATATCAACCAGTACCTCATGAGATCCTTTTTGAGTTTGAACGAGGCATATATAATTTATGTGCAAGTTCATACTCGAGACGCTCAACTTGATAAATGTCATTCTGTTTAAATGCATTTTACATGCTGATCAGTTAAGCGTCTTGGAGAAATAAGTAGCACTATGAAGAGTTAAATATATCACCTTTTCTCTGCTGTACTTCTGAAGCTGTAGGGTGATAACTGGTTTAACATGTAAAATGCCTGGTGCAACTATGCTCTGCTTTTATGTTATGTTTATTTCCTTTCAGTTTCAAATGGCCAGACACAGTAGGATGTACTTCCCGAGACACCAGGAACTTTCCATTTGTGTAAATTTGAATAAACACAAATGTTATAATTCCGTGTGTTGTCGTATTTCAAGGAAATTGATCCATATGGAATGTGAATGTCGCATGTCTGATCGTCACATATGCACCTGGACTGCTTGATAGTGATGCAGACCATATTTGTAAATAATGGAATACAATCTCGTTGCCCTCGTTGGATGGACTTCTGATATAAATTAAACCAGCGCTCAGTACTCGGAACATGCCTGAGACGGTATAAAAAGATCCCGAGTGACGGAAGGTGCTGTGAGGCTTGGTGTTAACACTGGATGATGGATAAGCTGGTTTTATGCTCCAGTTACTTTAACTACAATAGATTCAGGGTGGGAATACTGCCACCAATTAAAAGTCAATTGGTACTTTATGAGAGTTGCAAGCATAACCCGCGTTAGGATTCTGGTGGACAACATGGTTGCCCGACATCCCTGGCCTTTGTGACTCAATGGCAGATAGCATGTAACATGACGGATGTTATCTCGCTGTATTGCCTGGTCCATACCATTAACATACAGCCGTGACAAGGCTGCAATATTGCCGAGGTCATCGAAACCTGAGCCACACGTCGATCGCACCTACTGTTATACAAATATTTGTCTACAGGTTTAGTGTATGCAAAGAAATGACTTGCAGCGTTGAGTTCAGTTTGACGTGCAAAGCGTTGTCTAAACACGTGCACCGACGATGGTTACTAAATGATGCTGCAATGCTATCGTTTGAACACATCTGGATCTTATGTAACCTGAAGGTGTTAAACTGGTCCACGATCTTGAGGCAAATACATCTCCAGGAAATGTTGTTTCGCATGTAAGTGGTAACTGTAATCCGAACTTTTACAATTACATCCCCTTACAATGTGAAAATGAAAATATGCGTCAAATTCAATAATTTGCATTAAACGAACGGGAAGTTGAAAACTAGACGAATCTATTCATGTAACTCTTCCCATTGATTGAAATTACAGTCTTGGCAAACCTTGCATTGTAAGAATTGCTTCACAATAAGGGGACTGCCTTAACAAAGAACTTTCGACATGCATATTCATCTCTCGACCAATCATTCACGTGAAGATGCAGTGTATTTGTCCATAATAATTTACACGGCAGAGGTGGATTGCACACACATCCATGCTGGCCGCTTTTCCAGTTAGTTTTGGTTTTAAGCCGCGAGGTTATTTGGTCGAGAAGGAAACAGAATATTTGTCGGTTGAACCTGGTATTTTATTGACGTTTCAGGAAGTCTAAGCTCAGAATGGCATTTCATAGAAGCATTTGCTTTTTCTTTAACCGTAATTGAAATTCAAACCCTGCCACGTTGTCAGATAGTCTGACCCACAGGGATCACGGGAGGAAATATAAAGTACCCAGAAACGTACTTCGATCCTTGATGAATCTAGTAGCCATCATTAGGTTATTTGCATGTCATCGTGCTCACATTGAGAGGGGCGGTGGGGTAGCCTAATAGTTAAAGCGTTGGCTCGTCACGCCGAAGACCCGGGTTCGAATCCCCACATAGGCACAATGTGTGAAGCCCATTTCTGGTGTCCCCCGCCGTGAAGTTGCTGGAATATTGCTAAAAGCGGCGTAAAACCAAACTCAGTCAGTAAGTCACATTGAGAGGAACGAAGCTCACTGTGTCAGTCAGACCGGTACAGAACAACACCAGTACATAGGTGGATCATTTATGAGTTAGACCATAAACAATACGTTTACTGAAAGACGAAAGTCCATTTCTACAAAAGCATTCTTCCTGTAATAGTCATTAGGTTGTCTCTGCTCTGCCAAACATACTGTCTTCAGTTACAGACGCTGCCCGCTTGAGTGGGCCCGTCACCAACAGACCCGTGTTCGATTCCCAACATGGTATAACGTTTGAAGCCCACGTCTATAGTGTCTCCTGCTATAGTGATAAGAAATTCACGTTTGAAGAGTTGTGAAGTGCACACCACATGAACAACTGGTTTTGCTCTTGGCTAAACCCCAAACACACTGGCCTATTATAGATCACATACGTTCATAACAAGTGTATATACAGCTGAACGACGGTGAGCCTTGCACAGTAAACATCCCACCGAGTTAAAATATTGATGTATGTTGTCTCTCGTACACCAAAACACCCACCCCTCTATTATCCCCCGCAACGCGTTTTACTGGGGGTATTAAAATGGACTCCGTCCGTCCGTGCACATTTGTCTTTCCGGAGCAGTACTCTAAAACCGTTCAATATTTCTTCACCAAACTTGGCACAGATAGATCTGGTGGAGTACTGGTGCCTTTTGGTAGTTTTGGAATTCTGAATAAAATATTTTTGGCGTTTCCCTGGCAACAAGTTCGACTTAGAATGAAAATAGTAGTAGTGCTCTTTTCCGGAGCAGAACTCTAAAACCGTTCACTATTTCTTCACCAAACTTGGCACATAGATAGATCTGGTGGTGTACTGGTGCCTTTGGGTAGTTTTGGAATTCTGAATAAAATATTTTTTTGGCGGTTCAGTGGCAGCAAGTTTGACTTAGCCTGAAATTGGTGGTTGTGCTCTTTTCCGGAGCTGAACTCTAAAACCGTTCACTATTTCTTCACCAAACTTGGCACATAGATTGGTCTGGTGGTGTACTGGTGCCTTTGATAGTTTTGGAATTCTTAATAAAATATTTTTGGCGTTTCCATGGCAACAAGTTCGACTTAGCCTGAAATTGGTGGTTGTGCTCTTTTCCGGAGCAGAACTCTAGAACCGTTCAATGTTTCTTCACCAAACTTGGCACATACATAGATCTGGTGGTGTACTGGTGCCTAGTTTTGGATTTCTGAATAGATTATTTTTGGCATTTCCATGGCAACAAGTTTTACATAGCCTGAAATTGGTGATAGTGCTCCTTCCTGGAGCAGAGCTTTAAAAACCTTTCAATACTCTCCTTCCACTTTTCTATATACACACCTAAATATTTGACATAATCATAACTCGTAGACATAATCATGAAGATTATTTTGCCATTGCGGGGGATATTGATGACGTTGTCTTCTTGTTGTCTATTAACTGTAGACGCGGGTATACTATTCATTACGTTTTCCAAGGGACATATGCTTGTGCTGTTGAACTGAGGGAGTCTATCCATATCTTTAGGCTCGATTGAAACATCCACGACGCTGTCTCGTAAACGTCGTGTTCTCAGATTTAGATTTCCTCGAAAGTTCATCCACAGACACCTTTCAACCACACGTACACGTCAATGAACTTTATGTTGTGTTTCTGTTAATTTCGTTTATTATACAAGCGTTGTTCCCATTTCATCCTGGAGAAACTGTGCCACCTGAACAGGACACTGTTGTCAGTGTCGAGTATTGCAGTGTTAATCCATCAGGTGACTTGTAACTAAAGCTTTTGATCCAGAATAATATTTAACCGCATATTAGCGACTTGCTCCTGTAAATCCTTACTATTATGTACACACATTCAAGAGAAAATGGAATCACAGTGGACTCGCCTGCTCCAGTACAATTGCAAGTGAATGACTTCAAACACGGCCGACATATTTACCGCCATCTCTTAAAAGCTACAAACTGGAAATGCCCCGAACACATTACATTCCACTATTAAAATTTACCTCTAGTTTGGGTTTGGTACAAGAGTGTGGTTGTAAACGATCAAGCAACATACACACGTGAGAGCATTTTATCCGACCATTAGTAGATACACATAGCCACGGAGCCATTATTTTACTGGGTTTAGGCGCTTATCACAAGTGATGGCAACACTCTCTTAACTGGCATTTAGAAGCTGTGATGACGAGGAACAGAATATTGCGATAGATGCAACGTTTCGGTGTAGATGCTAACACCGTTAGTCAGAGACTAAGCGTTAGTCTATAAATCTTCTTTCAATCTTTGTTAAGATGAAACACACTTCCGTATTTCTGTGCATTCGGAAAATAATTGATATATCCGTCCTGTCATTTCAGCACGTTGGTTGCCTTTAACCCACAGATAATCTTTTCATGTGTTAATAATTATTTATCCGGAAATGCGGAACATGTTTGTTACGGCAGATATCTTCTTACTTGTCTGTTGCAAGATAAGACCGTTTTCATCTTAACAAAGATTGAAAGAAGAATTATAGACTAACGCTTAGTCTCTGAATATATAATTTTGATAGTATTAGTAACAAACAAACCCATTTAAACTGAAAAGGAGCCCCAGGGAGAGCAGAGGTTGAGACCTGAAGAAATCTAGACTTGCTTCATATAGCGCTTTAGCATTGCTGGGGGGGGGGGGGGGCTAGACTGTAGGGAAAATAGTGTGGTCCAGGGACTGTGAGACAGACTAGGAGAGTTATGTACAATGCAACGTAATACGATATAGATCTACTCACCTCTTGTATTTTGATCATGCAAACGCGTAATGTTTTCCCATTTACTTACATGATATACTTATAGGAGTACCATTTGCGTTTGTGTTTGGATTTCCATTATTAGATTATATTCATGATGTGTGAAATACCGTGTTTTCAAACGGTCCGCGTGAAGAGCTAAAGCGACTACAAAGGTCACGTGACGGGCACCTGCTTCCGCGTTGGGTGTACGCATGCCTACGCTACCGTTAATGGCGGCTGAGTTTTGATGACTGTAGTCACCTGTGGGCGCGGAGCGGAATAGTTTGGATTTGAGTCACCGCGGACATTGTACTTGTTCAAAAAGTCTGCACCGGTCCCGGCTCACAGACATCTACAGGTATAGTGTATTTTTGCACAGATCATTTTGGATCTACTGGACAAATGAATCGAAACAGCTAACAGGTTTGAACTTTCAGCTCCTAATATAGTCCTATTCTACCTTCGTATTGAGATGTTGAGATCAACAGATGATTGTGTCGACGTGCCTTTATATCCACTTGTTCAGATATAATATGACCGTAATTTAGAACTCCTCGATTGCCAATATTTGCTTAGCGCTTTTCGTCGAGTTGAATTCGATCCTCGTTATCGTTTCCGCAAAATCCCCAGGTGGGTATGTATATAATCAGATACACGGTTATCAAATATCATTTGCTAGAAAAGTAGTTTCCAACCTCAGACCCGTCTGTCGAGGTCACATTTTGATGCCGATTTGGTATTATAGAATTTTTCTCTCTGAATGTCATTTATCGTATGAAGTCATAAGCATGCAAACTATACTGTAGAGTAGCTTGCCTATACAACTATAGACACACCCAATTTTAGGGCAGTAAATGTTCTCAAGGGTACCTCGTGTAGCATGTCTATGCATGGGAATTTAATTTCCAATTTTAAAACTATACATATTTAGTGTTGTCACATGTCAGCTGGAAAACTAATCATGAGTTTTCTATTGAATTATAAGTTATCAAGTTTCTTATGCTACATAATTGAACAACTCATGTGAAAAACATTATTATTATGTCATGTTGTTAGTCTTCTCTGAGTGCATCACCCAAAATCTTGTGGCACAGAACCCATTAATTATCGTTTAATGACATAGTATTTTCCCTGCACTGTGGTGTCAGTAATTGTAGCCAGTCATTTCATTACTGCCCAATCACTGTTTCAATGTCTTTGTTTGGTCTGGAAATAATCCCATGTGGTGGAGATACACGAGTGTAGACTGCATGATATGTTGAAATATTTTCACAGTTTGTGGGAATTACACCAGTCATTTTAAATTTCTTCTCTTAGAAATGATAATTTGACATGATTATAATCTTTGGGAAGGCTATATTTTAGATGTCTCTTTCCTAGTCAGGAGAGTATCACAACATGCTAAATGGTGTTTTCATAGCTGATCATTAAGTCAAGAGTCACCGAGTCATTTGTTTATTGAGTGGATAGGTGTTAACTTGGGACTTACAGGTGTAATGTGAACCCCTCCCATAGAATACATACACTTACTTGATGTCAGAGGGATGGTTCACACCGCAGGCTTGTTATAAAGTGTTTTTTGGATTATGGGTAGCTTGCTGATGAACTCAAGAAAATGGTCATATCCAGCGATTACAGAACAAACCCCCAAACTGTTGTCTCACTTTGCCAAGTTATTATATGTAGTTAAGGTTTATACAGAGCAACAGAATGCATACAAACCTGACATCTCTATTTTAAGGATTAATCAGTCTTCATTCTTGCATGATACTATTTTGGACTCATTTGCTGCAAAAGTTTTGTTTTTATCCAGATTGAGCACAACACAAATAGTGAACTGTTCAATCAAATGGTGTCATGATCAAGACAGATTCTGAGTTAGAGATATGAGAGATGGGAATGGTGACATCTCTACGGAAATACAACTAGGATAGCACAGAGGTCCAGAGCATTTGTCACAATAACTTATACGCTGGGTAGTTAAATATGCATCAACCTGAGAATAACTTGAGATAGGGCTGGCTAAAGAGATTGTTAATCAAAAGTATTTTCAATGAGTAGAATTATTATCAATAAGAGATATGATAATTGTGTCATTTATACTTTGTTGTAATGAAAAAAAATGTTTTATTTACATCCTTATTTTTCACAGTTAGTCTTCATTCAATGGCAGCTTCTAAACTATGTGTGTAACACTGTGTTTGTAGTCAATGCATAAATGTGTCACTCGTCACATATGCTGATTTCATTTTTACTCTTTGCATATCTGCAGAAATATACTTCTCAGGTACATAACGATAATTGATCAACATTCACTTAACGAATATCAATCTCCGTGATCTGTATTGATAACAAGCCATATCTAGATAGGCAACCATATATTGTGCCCAACTCTAAATTTTGGTTTGAAAACAATTTGAAATGATTGCACTCTTTTGCCCAGAGTGGATTAGCCCCATTGAGTGTTTTGGCAGCATAGATCTCTGTACCCAATGTTAGACAGAAGCCTAGAAATGAGAGTGGGTTGTTACAATGTGCATTGTGGGTACCTAGCTGGTTGTATCGTCAATCCTGTTTCTCTGGTCCAGATTATTAACTGCTTGCCATTGTATTGCTGTAGTATTGCTGAGTATGGTATTCAACAACATTTACTTTATCAGTTTAATGAATGGGGTGGTGGGCACTGGTGGCATGTAATAGTAGGCATTGGATATGCGCGCTGGAGGAAATGAATCAAAGATCACTTAAGTTGTTAATGATAAAAAACATATTGGCTGATGGATTGTAAGAAGGATTGGGTAAAGAAATGAATATTTAAGTGTGCAACATAACACTCCAAATGGTGCTTAGGGTTTGATCGTTGAATGTTTGCCATTTTGAAAAAAACACATGGCAGATATCACTGTAAGAAGTGTAGTCCCTGTTGGTATTATTTTCCCACAGACATGCAATCATATAGATACGACATTTGAGGAAATAACCAATTTTCATAATACAATATTTGTAGGACTGTGATAACATTTTGATAAACAATTCAAAGCAGTTATTATGAGAATCATCTTCCGTTGAACTTTAATATCAAGGCTTGGCATGTACAATTGATAGTGGGAGGAACCACTACTATTACAGAACCCAGTCGGAAGTGAAACAATCGGGCCATTATTTTGAGATAGGCTTGATCATATCCTCATTCTGCTGATGTAGGTAGGATATGTCAGTGTACCAGGGGATGACGACCATGTTGTCATGCTGGACTGGTCCCATCCCACACCACAGCTTCCTGCTCCTGACCTAAGGGCCATTACTGCTTCCTGTGATAGGACAGGGGGACGAGTGGTCCTGACATTAAAACACCCTCATTAGAAACAACAGCCATGATGTCAACTGGATCTATACTTGAGGCTCCACAAGCAGTTGTAAGCTATCTCGCATGTCCATTGATCTGTTGTCTAGTTTTTGTTCCTTTAAGCTGTGAGTGTCTGCAAAGGTGTTGATGTTGTGTTTATCAGTATTCATTCTTTTGTAAGGGTATTTTAGATTTATTTCTGATGTATTTGAGGAAGGATGTAGATGTCATGTTTTAGGAGAATCCCGAAACCTGTTAAGCATTGGGAGAGCCATTGTATCTAAACCAATATTGTTATTTCAGTTTATTTTTAATGGTTTGATGAATGTGATTTTGTAATGAAATTAGCAAATCATAGTTTCCAAACTTTATCATGCTGAGAATCAGACCCATCATCATGATTACTTTTCACAGGTATGTTGTATAGGGATTTATCGAACCCGGAATGGAGGCAAACATTTGGCCCCAAGTCTGCATCCAATGTCAGTGAAATATCTCTAATTTGAGTTCAGGATTTCCCATTTTTGCTTTTATAGTTCTAACTAAAGGTCATATTTTAATTTTGTATAGCTGACATGTATTACACTGATAGCAAGCTGTCGTGATATTGCTGGAATATTTCTGAAAGCGGCTTAAACTGAACTCATTCACTCAGTCACTCATTGATAGCAAGACTTCATACAGGCGAGGAAACTTTAATGTTTCATTATTTTATTGAATTATTTTTCCTTTATTTGCCTTTACTTCAGAGTCCTGGATAAATCTGTGTTGTTGAATGAACTTCTGTAACATCTGCTAGACAAACATACATGTATATGCAGTGACTAGTTGGAGGATGATATGGGTCAGTACAGAGCTGACTGAACGCTCATTAAGAGGTTCTGTTTGTTTCACCTCAGACCTATCTTACCTTTATGTAGGTGTGATGTGTCAGCTCCCTGGATGCACACAAAGGAATACATGAATGTCTAGTATCTATCAACAGTCTATTCATTGTGCTGATGGGGAGTTCCCCATTCTCTAGCTTGATCCATTCCTGAGGAATCCTAGCATGTATGTGGGAGGTGTTTGTGGTGTATGGGGGAGAATAAGTGGGTACAGGTGACTGAGGTGCTGCATGAACCTGTGCAGATACTTAATTTGGCATGCCAGGAATCTTGAATGCTGGGTTCGGTCCTGTGTGGCTCGGTTTGTCAGCACCATAGTCTCAACAAGTAATAAACATGTGACACCTGTATCAGTTGGGGCTCTCATTCCACACGAAGCTGGCACGTCACAATATAACTGGATTACTGTTATATACAGTTGGAATACAAAGCAGCATTAAGTTTGACTCATAAATAACTGGACTGTAAGCCTACTTAGTATATGAAGGAAGTATGTGTGTGAAGCCCTGAAGTACTTAAAAATAGATGTGTGTCATGTAAGAAACTGATTATATCTCAGTAAAAGCAAATGCTGTTGTGTGATGTCGGACATTTTTGGTTCACTTTTGTCTGAATTCCATTAGTGACCATGTTTTCCTTTGATCTTTTGTTCTGGGTCATGTCTTCCTAGCATAATCAGCAATAATACATGACTAGGGGATAAAAATCTTTTTTCCATTTTTACATTTTCAGCAGAATGTTCTTTAGAAACACAGGGCAGTGGTAAAGCGTTCACTTGTTCCCAACATGGACAAAATGTGTGAAGCCCATTTCTGGTGTCCCAAGCCAGGATATTGCTGGAAAATTGCTAAAAGTGCTGTAAAACCTTACTCACTCACTCTTTGGAAACACAACAAGTATGTTTGTAATTGGCACCATAAAACCAGCATCAGTCTCGACTATCAATCATATGTACACATAACTGCAACATCATATCTTCTTGACTGTCACATTTATAGAAGGAACTTTTTGTCATGTCCAGAATGTATATCAGTTTGGTTAACCACACCCAGTTTTATGCAGTCATCTGAGGTTTACGGCATTTGCGGCTTGAACATTGTTGGGATTAGTGAGGATGTAATTATGTTAATGTTGAATCTGCCTGCAGCTGTTTGTCCCTACAAATACTGTGATTTTCATTCTATCCTACTTCCCAGTTTGTAACAAGAAGCTGATACAACGCTGTTGTGTCAGTCACAGGTAGGCCGATAGTCTCATCATGCAGACAGCTAACAGGTGTTATTGTAATGATAGCAGGTAAATCATTCATGCCCCTTCAAATAGATACTGGTAGTTAATTATGTTTCGACGCAAATAAGTAGCAGTGCAGTGAATTGACGGCCAGAATACATGTGAATGCACTAATGATACAGTTATACCTGAATAACAAAGGCAATAAACTTAAAAAATACAGTTGTTTACATGAATTGTTTGCTTATTCTTGATTCTGAAAATACTTAAATAACCGTCCAATGACACATTGAAAAATATGTTTCGCATCTTTATATTTCATAGGACACATCGATGTGTGTATCATCTAGGGCTGCATGGCGTCCACTATGTGGCCAACATGATACAAGTCATGAATATTGGGTAACAAATATGAATATTGGGAAGTGATAACAAAAACGAATACAACAAATGAAATTGGGTAACAAATGTGAATCATCAACAGATGTATTGTTTATCATATTCATTGTGAACCAATAATCAACAGATGTATTGTTTATCATATTCAGTGAACCAATAGCAACATATGTAACATGTTTGACCATGTTGACTGTGTAAATTGATCATGAACCTGACCAGTGTAAATAATGTCAAACCGAATATTCCAGTATGAGTATGACTATTATCGTGTCTGGCTTGGTTATGTTCAGTTCTGCATGTCTGGCTTGGATAATTAATACACAAGTTCAGGTCAAAACATTTCTTTTTAAAATATTCATGAATATTCTATTGTTGTCATCACAAATAACAAATTGAATTCATGAAGGGATACGGTTCGATTCACAGAATAAGCAAGTGAATCATAATGACCTGATAGCATTTTGTGCAGTTTCTCCCTTAGCAGTAGGTTGGTACAGTGGTACATGTGTTAGCTTATCCCAATGGAAAACCCAGGTTTGCTCACCCACATCTCCACTAAGACTGAGTCCTAATATTGATATCCTCTTGAATCTGGGTTTGTTCATCACTTGTAATTCCCAACATCAGGAAAATATAACCATAGTTGACTGTTATATTCATTAATATTAGAATGGGCAGATCGGTGTATGGTATGATATACTAAAGCCAGGATGGGCAGATCGGTTGTATGGTATGATATACTAAAGCCAGAATGACTCTTGTGATCCTCAGCGTTTATGTTAAACTGCTTAGCATAGGAAGCCAGCAGACTCTTGTGATCCCATGGTGATGTTAAACTGCTTAGCATAGTTAATGACGCCTCTAGCTGGGAATATCATGATCTATTTACCTAGTCCACACGATGCCATAAACTTTGGGCTTTCATTGTCACTTTGTTTATCAGACCTATTATGATAATATTGATATATGGCATTAAAAAACACAGACTCACAGTAGATTGTTGACGTTTGGACTGCAAGTAGATATGCACTCAATGTGGAATATGTGGAGTATCCGTCATCCTCCTATTGTGGGGAGTATACGCTCATTTAATACCTGCCTGAAGTCACAACAAATTTCACAGATTACACGTTACAAGACCTTTTGGTTACCATGCATCTTATGATACTTTCCATACTGAATCATATTATGAAAGCTGTTATGAATCCCATGCTCATAAGTTCAAATCTGTTTTCTCTGGTCAAGACTTTATTATTACGGAAAGATATGGAAAATTAAATATTGTTGTCTGCATCATTAAATATAAAAACTGAACCAAATAATCTGCTTTAGCCATTTAAAAAAGTCATACTGTGAGTCTTCTTATATAACATTTATGTTGTACATCAGTGTAGTTGTAGTTGTAGCATGACACTAGTCTAGACCTAGACCGGATGCATGACACTACAGTCTAAACCTAGACTGGACATATGGCTCTACAGTCTAGACCTAGACCAGACACATGACCCTACAGTCTAGACCTAGACCAGACACATGACACTACAGTCTAGACCTAGACATGACAGTTTAGTCTAGACCTAGACTGGACACATGGCACTACAGTGTAGACCTAGACTGGACGCATAGCACTACAGTCTAGACCTAGACTGGACACATGACAGTTTAGTCTAGACCTAGACTAGACACATGGCACTAGTGTAGACCTAGACCAGACACATGACACAACAGTCTAGACCTAGACTTGACACATGACAGTTTAGTCTAGACCTAGACCAGACACATGGCACTACAGTCTAGACCTAGACCGGACACTACAGTCTAGACCGAGACCACATGCAGACCACTTAATGCATTATTATGTTATGGGTTTTTAAAGTTGAAATTCCACAAGGAAGGATCTGTGTAGGCTGCCATTGTCAGCTGTGACCTTCGTACTGGAACTTCCATCACTGGCACTGTGTTGTCCCTATAAATGGTGACATTGTTCTAGTTACATCCCATGATCATATCTGCATTCCATTTTGATACAAGGAAATATTTCTGTTTGTGTTATTGAATCTCCCATACAGCCATATCTAACAGTTTTTGGGAGATCTTTTGTTTGTAGGAAAGGCAAGATAATTAAAAATTATTTTACTGATGTAAATACGCTTTGGGGGTCACAGGCATCAAAATGAGGGCCAACATTGACCACTATACCATCAGGAGATAAGACACAAAGTAGAGGTTTACATCATGCTTACAGCTTTGTATATATGTAGATATTACTGATGTACAACCAGGACTAAGCATGCGTGATGTGTCATGGTGACTCTAGATGTGGAATCTATGTTTAAATCTCAACTTTTTGTTGCTGATCGGTTCTAACACTAGTTCGACGTTTTCTTCCAGATTTATCGAGAGAACCAGGAGAAGCAGGTTGTCACAATGGCGTCGGAAGAAGAAGGTAGGATGATAATATACTCATGGAAACAAATAAGGGAACACATGAAAGTACAAGTATTCCTTGTATACTCTCAGATTTTCACCCACAGGTAAAGTATACAGGAGCACTTGTTCTTTCATATGGTAACTTTTTCATTTCAGTCAGGATGTTTATTCCTTGAGAATTTTTGTTTCGTATTGGGATGTCAGAGGGAAACCTTTTGGTAGTGAAAACTTGATACCCTCATTTATATGGGAAAGGAACAGGTTTTATCCAAAACATAAATTACAGTTATTTTGGAGGAGTACACAGGCTTAATGTTGTTCAATGAACAGCCCTTTAAGACAAAATAGTTTGTTGACAAGTTCTTCCCATCAGTGGTGTGGTCTGTGTATATAAATATGTCTTTATGTCTTCACTAATGTAAGCGTTTCTTGATCAGTAGATGCTTCATGGAGGCATGGCAGGATAGTGTGTTCAGTAGTCCCAGATGTAGCTTATTATCTGGTTTGTCAGCCCTAGCTCCACATCTGTACTGAATAAGTGGAGCACAGTGGTGTAGTGGTTAGCATGCTGGCCTCTCACGCCAAAGGCCCGGGTTCGAATCCCAGTGGAGACACCAAAATTTGTGACCTGGGTCTCATACTGTGTTGTGTCCCTGGGCAAGGCACTTCGTCCACATTGCACTCAGTCCACCCAGCTGTTTAAAATGGGTACCTGAAAAGCGGATTGTACGGACCTATACAGTCGGGCTTATCGCTTAGTAGCAGCTTTGAAAGTACAATTCCGTCTGGGTAATAATGTAACGCCAGAGAACAGCATCACGTTGGATTCTAGGTGCAAAAAATTAGCATTATTAGCATTATTATTTAGTCCCAAGATGTAAAGTTATTTTGATCCCAATAAGAGCCAAGTCTGTATAAACAAACAGATGTCTGTCTTTTATAGGAACAACTTGTTCTTTTTATTTCTCTAACTAAATTAATGACTAAAAATCATTCCTGAGAGATTTGAGTCTAAACCAACCCATGTTTGGGGTTTTACAAAGATGGTAGATGACACATAACTGGTTTAGGGATCACTCAGGTGTCTTTCACACCAGGTTCCTTTGATACACAGTGATAGGTGAGCCAGGTAGAGCTTGGGGCTACATTCTCCTATATTAGCACCAACTGACTAACTTCACCATACTATTAACATTCATATATTAACATACAACTTTCAAGATTATACATTCATACTGGCTGACCTCCAAATTGGCTTCTCAGTTAGCAAATATTTAAATCAGTTCTATGACAGTAGAAATTTGACTACAATAATGACTACATTTAACCCTAGGAAGCAGGGTTGGGTTGCTTATATGTGCAGAATTCTATAATTTTGAGTTTGAATCCCTGTGTGCCTTGATAATGATCCTGTGTCCATCAGGACCGTACCAATTCTAGTTTTTAGAGTGGTACATAATTAGAACAATTTCCAAAACCATTAGAAATCTCTGCTAGAAGTACACCAGAATCCCAATACATCTTAGACATGTATATAAATTACTGTGAAATAGTGGTGATACAGGGTGTTTGTAAAATGGTGAGCATATCCACCAGGGGACACCTGTCAGAAATATGTGCAGAAGTAAGGCAATTGTTCTGAACAAACGATATGCTTCCCTTCAAACATTCTTAACATGTTATGCTGATGTACAGTGATGTAACAGAAAATGTTCAACAAGCATCACGTGAATGGTGAGATGATGTAACAGTGATGACCTTACCACTCACTGTCATAACTGTCTGAATGCTTCAACACAGCATGGGATCAATATGTGATGCAGAATGTTGCTGTGAACACATACCGGTACTGAGCAAGGCCTAATTAAACACAGTCTCGACACTATATAACTCAACGCTGCAACAAACACAGACCAAGTGTGGCAGATCGGAATGTCAATACATCAGGCCAGAAGTGAGTTGACATTGTTCAGCCACAGTCAGCAATACACAGCTACATTGCTGCAGTCTGCAGGGTGTTATGCCACCAGCAAATGTAGAGAAGTACAAATGTACGCACAAATGTAGAGAATGGACACAGGAAAAAATTCACTGCGTCCAGAGGGACTCACAATGTTATTCTCTGTGCCCACAACATATCCCAGACTTTGCTAAGTATTTGGTTTCTTTCAGAGCTGTTAAGTGCTTCATTTCATCATCAGTCCAAGTGTTCAATGATTCATTCCATGCTCTGAAAACTTACCAAAACATACATGCAACTGCAAGAACCCTTAAACTTAATAGTCGAGGTAAAACCCTGTGTCCTGTATATGTAGTGTGGACTGCGCAGTCTCTTGACACCATGATTCAGGACCCCGCCATTGCCTGGAGTGTATTTTTGGTAGTTAAAAAAGATATTACAGAGGTGGAAATAACCCATTGCCCGACGCCCCAGTCCAGTGTTTTTTTTGTCAGGCAAGCAAATTTGTATATCACATTGTACCAGTGTCCAGTTGACTTTCCAATGTTAAGTATGTTGTTTATTTAAAAAATCAACAAGAAAACGGCCAGTATAGTGGAAAAATTATCAGGGCAAGTGATTTTACATGTGCCACTGTACCGGAGTACACTAGCAATTTTAAAGTTACTTCCACCCCTGTATTAGTCTATGGCACTTGTTGTTGCCGTGTATGACTCTAGCAGTTATAAGACAGGACAGCTCGGAGAGTGGTCAGACTCGCTGACTTGGTTCATGCATGTCATCGTATCCCAACTGTGTAGATACATGTTCATGATGTCAATCACTAGATTGTCTGGTCCAGACTTGATTATTTATAGCTGGAAAATTGTTGAGTGTGATATTAAACATCAAAGTCAATAGGGTATGCATGTGGCATGGTATTGACCGAACTGTAAATACACACACACACACACACACATTCAGGCAGTACCTGACCTTACTGATTCAGAGGACATAATGCATGTTGAGACGCCGTGGATGATGGCATGCTCAGGACTGAAAACACATTCTTTTCTCACCATTCCTGAAAGTGTATTTGGTCTCCATTCAGTTATTCAGTTGTTTGTGGATTATGTTTGGGTCTGGGGTCTTTGATTGATACAATAAACACCCTTTTAGGTTATTTTAAAGGCAATCACTAAAAAATGTCATCTGTCAGTAAGGACTGACTTTTTAATGTGTGAAATTATTTATCACACTGCCAAGATACTCTGAAACCATGTGATAAATAATATAAACATATGTTGTTGTCATGAAAACCATAAAGTCAATGTAAAATATTCATTAACATCGTGATCTTTCAATTCTAATTTCCTCAACTTCATTTGAAAATCTGCATTTATATTTTTTAGATAAAAAGTCATGCTAATTAACAAATTTGGCAGAAAGTGCTAAAAATGTTTGTGACTGGGCATCTGGGTTGACCCCACCAGATTAGCACAGTTTCTGAAGTCCATTTATAGTGAAGCTCTAGCCTCGTCTACAAGCTGTATTTCTGAGTCAGAATGGCTGTACTTGCTGTAGTAAGCCTGAACTGAAACAGAAACTGAATGACCGAGGACTTTAGAGTATCTAATATGATGTGTCATTAAAGTGTAGTGAATAAACCTTGCAGTGAGCCCGGAGACATGACACACATAAGTGATTTATTGGAGGTCAGCAGTCATACACTGTGGCTGTTGGCCTGACATAGTAGTGTTATCCTGCCAATACTTTAATATATCCATCCCTTAGACATTTACAGCTAGGGGTGTCGCGATACGCGAATGTATATATTTTTTTAGTGATTGCCTTTAAAATAACCTAAAAGGGTGTTCATTGTATCAATCGATACATTTTTACTGACGATACGATACGCGATACATGCTTGCGTGTATCGATTCCTATTTTAAAACTTTATCGATTCAAATTTTTATGCTATATCCATCTCCTTCAAAGTCTTGATAGTAAAATTATACGAGACCTTTCGATACATTTTTACTGACGATACGATACGTGATACATGCTTGCGTGTATCGATTCCTATTTTAAAACTTTATCGATTCAAATTTTTATGCTATATCCATCTCCTTCAAAGTCTTGATAGTAAAATTATACGAGACCGCTCCGATAAAAAGATGTAGCTAGCTATCCTTTAAAAATAGGTTGGAAACTAACAGCTTTTGTGATTGGCTAGACTATTTTTATGGACCAATCAGCGAGCGCGTACGTTGCCGCTAAGGTAATGCTATGAAAAGGCGCGAAAATTATGTATCGCGATACGTATCGTATCGTGACCTTAAAATCGTGATACGTATCGTATCGTGAGATTGGTGTATCGTGACACCCCTATTTACAGCCCTGTCCTGGCTGCATGCATCTGCTTTGGTGGCGACTGGAGGGGAGTTAAAAGTCAGTTTCAAATTGGGGTTGTATACATTCTTGAGTACATAGTGTACTATATCGCCTTTTGACACATGAAGATCAGGGTTAGAATTAGTCTTCAGCTCAAGAAACAACTAGCTGGATCGGATGTAGACTAATGCTTAGTCTCTGAACATATATAATTTTGATTGTAACAAATTAACCCATTTAAATTGAAACGGAGCCCCAGGGAGACCAGAGAATCTGAATCAGGGGAAATCTAGACTTGCTTCATTTAGGGCTTTAGCATTGCAGGGAGGGCTAGGTTATTGGGAAAATAATATGGTTCAGGGACTGTGAGTGAGTTAAGTTTTACGCCGGACTCAGCAATATTCCAGCTATATGGTGGCGGTCTGTAAATATTCGAGTCTGGACCAGACAATCCAGTGATCAACAGCATGAGCATCGATCTGGGCAACTGGGAACCAATGACATGTGTCAACCAAGTCAGCAAGCCTGACCACCCGATCCCGTGAGTCGCCTCTTACGACAAGCATGGGTTACTGAAGGTTCATTCTAACCCAGACCTTCACGGGTTCAGGGACTGTGAGACAGACTAGATTGGGTGGTCCGACTTGCTGACTTGGTTGATACATGTGATCATATCCCAGTTG